TTTTTTAAAAAGGTGTGGATTCTTTCATAAATGCACAAAATATAACTGTACACTAATACTTGTAGGTAAAGTTGATCCAGGAATGATCCAATTGCTTCTTAGGGAATCGGGAAGGAATTTTTTTCCCCCGCTGAAACAAATTGGACTATGCTTTTTATTAGGGTTTTTTTGCCTTCCTCTGGATCAACTGTGGGTATAGGATTGAGTATATGGAGTGTGTGCGTGTATTTTCTTTGGGTTGAGCTGGATGTAACTAGACTATGCAACTACTCAGAGCTCAGTCTCAGGTGGATGACCAGGTGTTACATTACGCGACTGGTCGCACACTTTAATGTCATTTCTGCCTAGAGCCCTTATATGGCACTTGAATGCTTCCTCATGCCCTTTTGTTATGAGGATTCCTTGCAGGATGGTCTATACCTGGGTTACTGCATACTCCTACAAGACACGCTTCCATTATCTCCCAAGCTCTGCTCTGGGAGTATCCTGTAGAACGGGGTTCACTAAACCATCGATCGTGGGCAGCCAACTGGTAGACTGTGAACATGGCTTTGTTTCCCTCCCCCAGCCTTTGCTGCTCTCATGTTCACAGCAGAGCGAAGATCAGGAGACAGCATAGTGCTGGATAGAGGGCAGGGGGAGCGGCCTTAACATTTCAAGCTAACCAGCTGGTTATTGGTTGCTAGGCGGTCCTAGCAGTCAGTCACCAACTTGTTTTTATGAAAAGTTGACTCCGGCAGCTCCCGCTTCTGCCCTCTATCCGGTACTATGCTGTCTGCTGATCTCTGCTGTGCACATGCTGGTAGAGTGCTATCTACACAGCATTAGTGTGTGTTGGGGGGGGGGGGGGGGGGGGTACAGGACACTGCTTTGGGGAAGTAAGGGGGAGGTCTGGAACACTGCTAATGGGGGCAGAGGACACTTCAGTGGGGGGAAGAGGTGATGTACAGGACAGGTGACAATGTGTTGGGGGTGGAGTTCACTACTGTGGGGGGGAGGGGGGGCAGAGGACACTGCTATGGGGGGTGGGGCAGAGGACACTACAGTGAGGGGGTGGTTTTAAGGGGAGCAAAGGACACTAATGTGGAGGGGAGAGGGCGGCACAGTACACTGCTATGGGGGGGGCCGAGGACACTACAGTGATGGGGGTGACATGAACACGGGGCAGAGGATACTGTTTTTGGGGGGGAGGGGGGCAGAGGACACTGCTATGGGGGATAGAGGACATTACAGTGGGACAGGGATATGAAGGGGGCAGATTGCCATCTTTTTATTGGGAGCTTAATTTTTTTTTTCTTTACCTTCCTTCCCAGGCTTAAACTTAAGAATCCTGAGAAAGGGGAGACGTCTGTTGCAGTTTGCATATCTCCAGGACACAGGTGTCCTGTGGGTTCAGTTGGTGATTACAAGATATTTAAAAATATTACGGCCGCATGGCTTTCTTTAGCAGATAGCCACTTCTTGCCCTATGGAGTCATCATATCAGTACCAAAGCCCAATGGAGATATCCATCCTATTCTGGACTTAGTGGTATTAATGCCAAAAATAAAAATGTATTATATTGCAGCTCACCAATTCTTAGTTGTGATGGATTTTTTTTTTTTTTTTTAAGCTTGCTTTCTTGTTTTCACCAGGTGATTTGGCCAGTAAGTTTTCAGCCTTTGGGCACCAAGGTCTGTTAAGGCCACTACCTGGTCTCCTGTTCATGCTTTTTCAAAGTTTTACTGGGTGGAAGTCCAATTTTCTACTGGCAGAGCATTTGGCCACAGAGTTCTTGCAGCAGTACTGTGGACCTAAGTCTTTTACCCTTGTTTTTGGGTGTGTTGGTACAGTTCTGTTTGCATAGTTCTTGTCCACCCTTATTTTCATTGCTTGGGGACATCCCATGGTGTATGAATAAGATGCCCATGTCCCATACTGTATGATGATCAGAGGAATTTTACTTGGAAATGCCATATCTTCGTGTACAGTGCAAGTCACATGCCACCCTCCCTAAACTCTCCTTGCTATTCTGTGTTGCTTGCTACAGACCTGAGTACTAAGAACCTGAGGAGTTGTGTAGGGTTGTAGGGAAGACACAGCAGAGGACTTGTTCTACAAAGCCTGCCAGTGTCCAGTCACCCAATATGAGCCTATAACCTATGATGTATTAAAAGGATACCCATTTCCTGTACTGTACTTTAATATATGAAATTTACAGGCAAGTCAAAATTCCTTTTTCTAAAGTCATTCTAATCTCACGTCAAAAGCTTATGTATTTATCGTTTTTGTGACTAGAAGTTGGATAACATTCCTGTTGTGTTGAGTAAATGTGTATTACTTCCTTTCAAAACTGAATGTCTTTGTCTTTAGGAAGCTAATGAAAAGCCTTGGGCAGGCGGGAGAAATTGAACCAGAAACGGAGGGAATATTGACCGAATATGGGGTAGATTTCTCAGAATTCTCCAAGAAAGTGCTACAGTGCCTGCCACAGAATTTGCCATGGTCTATTCCTCAGGAGGAGCTTGAAAGAAGAAAAGATCTGAGGTTAGTAGTTGTGATGCTACACAGCATTGGTCACCTAGCAAGGATGAGAACTGCCAGCCATGCAAACACAATTTCTAGTATGAGTGCACCAGTGAATACACCATAGTGGAAGCAGACATCCTAGAATATTCTATTAATTTGGTGCTAGCTGCGGGTGAAAAGTGGTCATTGGGTGTCACAAAAATATTCACAGCTAGTTATGATCCAATTTTCAAATTTCTAGAGATCTTTATAGATTGCCTTTAACCGCTTTAGGACCTCCCACATCACTTTTACTGCTACAGGGTGGCCCCTGTGTGCAAGATCACGTGTGTATATATACGTGATTCTGCATTTCTGGGTAGAAGGCGAGCCGCTGATCATGGGCCCAGGTGTCAATCGCCGGGTCCCGGCCGGTGATTACCTGCTGGCACTCGGTGATTACCGGCGATCACCGACAGGGAGGAGGGTCGCATTGTTTACCAACAGCCCCCTCCGTCAGTTTGGTCACACTGAACACAGCCATCCCGGTCAGTGTGCCCCCCCCCCCCAAGCCCTTGTAAAACACTCCCATCACAGTTAACCCTTTTGATCGGCCCTCATTGTTAACCCCTTCCTGCCCAGTGCCATTAGTACAGTGTCAGTGCTGATTTTTTTTTTTTTTTAAAGCACTGATCACTGTATTGGTATCACTGGGAATGCCAATGACACCAGGTCAGTTCCCCCCAGTGTCAGAATGCCGCCACAAGTCGCTGATCGCCGCCATTATTTAGTATGAAAAAAAAAAATGTCCAGTATCTATACTGCCATTTGTGAACACTATAACTTTCACGTAAACCAATTCATTTACACATATTGGGATTTTTTTTTTTTAGCAAAGAAGTGTCACAGAATACATTTTGGCCTACATTTTTGACGAAATTTGATTTTTCAGTTTTTTTACTGGATGTTTTATAGCAAAAAGTCTAAAATATTGTTTTTTTTTCCCCTCAAAATTGTCAGGTTTTTTTTTTTTATAGCGCAAAAAATAAAAACCGCGCAGGCTATCAAATACCAAAGAAAGATAGCTCAATTCGTGGGGGGGAAAAAAAGGACGTAAATTTAATTTGGCTGCAGCGTTGCATGACCGTGCAATTGTCAGTTAAAATAATGCAGCGCCGTAATGTAAACCGCTTCTTTAACTGCTTCCTGACCACCCTATAGCAGAAATACTGCTACAGGGCGGCACGGGTGTGCAAAATCACATGTGTATATATACGTGATTCGTGCTCCTGTGGTTTTCACGCCCCTCCCAGAAAGCGTCAGATTGCCCATCAGTACACCGGTAATAACAATTAAACCCCTTGATTGCCAGGAACACGCTCATAAACAATAAACCTCCATTGCTAGTATAGTGTCTGAATGGATCAATATCTTTGATCAGATCTGCACTATATCTATGCACATTGTTTACATTAGTATACTGTCCCCAAAAACGCAGCGTTAGCAGGATCAGCCCTGGCACCTGCCAGCACCTGCTTTTTTAGCCCTTCCAATTACCGCCCCCCCCCCCCCCCCCTCTCCCCCAGCAAGTGCAGTCTCAGTAGGTCACTGTCACTTGATACATTGCACACAAAACCACAGTGTTCGCAGAATCAGGCCTGATCTCTGCTAGCACTTTCCGGTAAATGTTGATGACTCTCATATGCAGCAGAGTGCCATTACTAGTGCTGCTCTACCTTTTGGTGAACTGGCGAGCACCAGCGGCCAAGTCTTTCATATACCAGCACTGCAGTATCACTTGATGACGTGGCGAGTCCCATAAGTGCAGTACAAGCTGGTGCGGTGGTGAGCACAAGTCAAGTATTGTCCTCCTACCACCCGATTCATCATATGCCCGTGTTCTCTGCTGCCATGTCCGGGCATAGATATGAGAGTATAATGTGTTTTATGTATGTCAGCGACAATACACTTGGTTGTCCTCGGGGTGACCCTGAGTTTGACCGGCTCCACAAAATTCGCCCCTCTTAAATCACCTTAACCAAAAATTTGCACATGTCTGTACATGCAAAAAATCTGTGTGGGATGAGTCCCTCATTAATTTTTTTTGCTGCCTTGCATTCAAAAAATTTCTCCCCAGCAAGTGTGCCAGATATATGGGGTCAAGATGTATAAGACCTGTGAGAGGGCAACAGGCTATACATGTAAGTTTTGGATTTACGCGGGAAAATATAGCCACGTGGAGCCCCACCGGATGCCCAGACTAAATCGGGAGTAGTGGCAAGATAGTTTGGGACATGGTGTCATCCTTTTTCCATATGGTGTACTATTTATACGTGGACAATTGTTATTCAAGTGTGCCACTATTTAGATATTTGTACAATCTTGGAATTGGTACATGTGGCACTGTGCGACCTAATGTGTGCCCACCATTAGAAATGGGTGGATGCAGAGTGGTATATTCTAATGGTGGGCATACCACACCCTTTTTCTGGCAGAGATTTCGTCTTTTTTTCATTCAGCCCACAGGCTGCATACAAAAAAAAACGCAAAAACATAGCATATATCCACAACCAGGAACAGCGACGTACTGGTACATCACTGGACTTCGAATGGTTATACCAGGATGATGTCTACAGCGGCAGGCATCATCCTGGTATCGTTTTTTTCCATCCGGCGATCGGCTTTCGTGTAAAAGTAATCCTGGTGGCTAATTACCTGCAGGATTACTTTTACAAGCAGCGGAATATTATGCCCCCCCCCCCCCGCTGCCCTCCACGGCCTTCTTGGGCAGTCCCGTACCATCGGGGGACCTGAGAATACAGCTGGTGCTTCTGCCTGCTGACCATAGAGCTGATTGGAGACTGGAATAGTGCCAATCATCTCTATAGTCTAAGAAATCGAAAGCTACGAGCATTTCATCACTTCAGTTTTGCAGCGCCATTTGTATTTGATATAAACAGCACCATTTGTAAATTGGGAACGCATCTGATCACACCGATCTTGGTGAGATTAGATAATGTAAGGGCAGAGGAGATATCCAGAGTCTGATAGACCCCAGATTTCTCAAAAAAGAATATATGACGATGCCCACTGAAGTTTTATAGGGGATATTTGCATTCCCTGTGATAGCATTATTTCAAAACTTTGTGAGAAAAAATGAGATCTGCAAAATACTCACCATGCCTCTTTTTAAATTCCTTGGGGTGTCTACTTTCCAAAAAGGAGTTATTGGGGAGGGGGGGGGGGTTGGTGCTATCCTGGCATTTCAGGGCCTCCGAAACTGTGATAGGTAGTGAGGAAGTGAAATGAGGAGCCTGTATGTGGCTAGGCTCCCAAAAAGTCACAAACGTGTGGTATCCCCATACTCTGTAGAGGTAGCAGAATGTATTTTTGGTAATTCCACATATACTCATGGCTTGTGTGAGAAATATATAATTTAAATGACAATTTTGTGTAAAAAAAAACAAATGCTTTTATTATCTTCCAAAAACTTGTGGAAGAAAAATACATTTTCCATTGACTCAATATGCCTCTCAGCAGGTAGCTTAGGGTGTCTACTTTCCGAAAAGGGGGTCATTTGGGGGTGTTTGTACTATCCTGGTATTTTAGCACCTCAAGAAATGTGATGGGCAGTCAAAGTAAAAGCTATGTAAATTCCATTATCCATACCATAGTTTGTAGATACTATAACTTTCACACAAAGCAATCAACATACACCTATTGGGATTTTTTAACCAAAAACGTGTAGCAGAATACATTCTGGTCTAAATGTATGATGAAATTTGTGCTTTTGGATGTTTTTTTTATGACAGAAATGAGAATTTTTTTTTTTTTTTTCAAAACTTTGTTTAAATTTATGACTAACTTTGAGTTTAATATATATTTTTTTTATTCGGTTTTTTTCGGTTTATAGCGCGTGAAAAATAAAAAAGTGCACAGGTGATCAAATACCACCGAAAGAAAGCTCTATTTGTGTGAAAAAAAAGGACGTATATTTTGTTTGGGTACAGCATTGCATGACCATGCAATTATCCATTGAAATGGTGCAGTGTCGAATAGCAAAAAGAGGCCTAGTCATTAAGGGGGGTAAATCCTCAGGATGGCAAGTGGTTAATCTAAACTTAGCTTTACATTTTCTGAATAAATACAATGTTCCCTCTGATTGGCTGAGGTGAAGAGGTGGGCGGTTGATATCATGAACTCCACTTCAGCCATTCAGAGGAAGCTAAACAACACTTTGCTCAACTCAATTTTATTTCTGGAACAGAGAATCCCTGTCCCGCTGCTGGAACACAGTTCTGTATACAACCAGGTTGGTCCAAATGTACAATCTTAATGTGACTAAAACTAAACTGGGGCACAAAAGATTTCATGTAAATATGTTTAATAAGCACAGCAGATTTAAACCTGATTGGTTTGTAGGAAGTGCCTTAAAAAAACTCTGATATTAACATTTACAGATAGCAATGGCCTCATCAATGTGCTGGCAATAACTTGTGCAGAGAGCACAACTAGGTAAGGAACACGGTAGGCCCACCTTCTAAATACTACCTGCAGAAAATCTGGGGGGGGGGGGGGGGGGGGATTTTTGCAAGACCTGGCACAAGGACAGTGACCAGCAGAGATTGGTCTTTAATACAGAAAACTCCTGTACTGAATGCACAGATCTGGAAAAAATAAAACAATGCTTTAGACTCACAGATAAAATTAAACTGATGCATGCCACTGCTCTCTGCATAATTCAGGGGTCAGAGGGAGTAGTTAGAGATGATGGTTTAGCTGCTGACTTTAGACAAGGTCAAAATTAGCATAACCATACACTATTCAATTGACAGAAGAGACAGGACACGCCCATCTGAGTGTAGTAATACTGTATTTAATAGCAAAGAATTAAAAACGCTCATAAAGGAAGTAATAAAACAAGCTCATCTGTATATATGAGAGATGACCGTTTTTCAAAACGTCCTTCAGGCACCGCCAGGCCTGACTTTCCCACGTCTGTGTTCTTCCTCCCCTCTGCCTCTTCCTGTGATGTCACATCCTTCCGGTGTGTTCCAGGCTGGCTACTAGGCTCCTTCCTGCACAAACGCCGTTGGATGGGCTTTATAACACCATCACTGTTTAGGATTGACCACTACAGTGTCTTTTTACCATCTCCATCAGCCCAGCTGCTATTGCACTAACCACTGGTGGTGCCTGCTGGACGTTTTGAGGAACGGTCATCTCTCATATCAACAGATGAGCTTGTTTTATTACTTGCTTTGTGAGTGTTTTTAATCCTTTGCTATTAAATACAGTGTTATTACTACACTCAGATGGGCGCCTCCTTTTTCTTCTGTCCCTGCATACAGAGCTGGCTTGTTGCGAGGATGGCTGCCGTCTTTTTGTGCTAAAAAGATTCCAGGCAGATTGCCTGAGAGACTCTTTTATAAGGACTTATTGTACACCAATGCATTTACATACCCTGTTTTAAAGTACTTGTATGCCAATATTGCCATTATCATCTTTTACTTTATTATTTTTATTCTTTTCACCTTTACACTACTTTACTCCTGTGCGCCAGTTACTCATTCTATACACTATTCAATTGTTTTGGGCTTTAAATTTTGGGTAAAAAGTGTTTCAAACACCCAATGGAGCACATTATGAAAATACTGCAATGTTTACATGCTTGGGAAAACACAGGGTCCCTTTTTTAAGGATGTTTCATCAGAAGGGTCCTATATGTATATATTTATAAAAATAAGAGCTGTTGGTCGTCTTGCTTGTAATGAGCACTCTGGGGCATGAGGGCTGTTTTCTGATATTTTTGAAACATACGGTATATAATTTAAGTGGAATTCCAGGCTTTAAAACCAGACATAGACAGATCTAAATTTTGTCTGGTTCAGCAGGAACCGGCCGAATTGCGATCCATTCATGAGCAGGCTGGTAGTATTGAAGTTGATTTATCTATCAATCGACTTCAGTACAACCAGCCTGGTTGGTTTTTAGCTGGCAGAAGTAATCATTGTATTCTAATAGTGGGGAAGCCTCCTGCTGTCAAAATACAGTAGTGCAACGGGAGGGATTCCCCCATCAACACAGTCAGAATTGAGATATGAAGGAAAATTGCCCAATTTATGACCAGCTGAAACCTAAAACTGCTCCCCCCCGCGCCCCCCCCCCCCCTAAAAATCCTATTTTAACTACCCCATACCCCTAATTTCTATTCTAACTTCCCTGTGTAAGTAAGGTGCTTCATACTTGCCTGTTATCAGAACTCTCCAGTCTGGTCACGTGATCGACTTCAGGGGCTTTTGCCAACATTGGTTAAAATGCCTGGGTTTGTGACATCCGTCGTATGCTTACTGTTTGTTATCCATTGTTAGTGGTCCCCCCTCTCCCTTGAAGCCGTCACTCGGAGACGATCACTTTGACTGGATTGCCTTGAGAATTGATAAGTATAAACATCTTTATTCTACAGGGTAGTAGCCATAGGAAGGGAGTAGAAGCAGTTTTAAGCTTAGATAGTTTGAGCCCTTCCACTTTAAAGACCATGCTTACAAATTTGCTTGCAGCTTTCAATCTGTCTGCCTTGATGCGTGAAATAAGTATTTGGTTACAAAAATGTATTTCATATGTCATGGTTGCATCTTTTCGGGTGTGGTATGCATGGTGTAAAACCCAGTACTGAGGTAGAATGTAGGATAAATACATATCTTAATTGTATAGAATGAGACACAGGCTTGATTGTCATAGATCCTGGGTTATAGAGCTGGTATCTTCAGGCGATTGGATCCTGGCAAAGCACGCCTCTTGGGCATCCCCCATAACCCTACGTTACTTCGGGAGTCATCAGTCTGCCTCTACAACAATAGTTTTCATTGCACCAAATTTTCCCAGAAGAACCTGGTACAGACATACACAGACTTCTAGGAGATGCCTCCTGTCTTCTTCCAAACAGGCCAAACCCCCCTCCATCCTCTGCTTCTCATTCACTGGCTTTAAAAGCATGACTGTTGAAGTCCAAGTTTTAAGAGGACAGAGGGGGCTTTGATTCTGTAATTCCTAAATTGCTAAGAGCATGGAAAGCCACTTCCAGAAAGATCCACTATTGCATCTGGAAATCATTCTTTGCCTGATGTGAACACAGGAGCCTAAACCACGGAGGTTACTTTGTACCCCCCATTCTAACCTTCCTACAATTGGAACTGGACTACAACTGGGCCTTAAGTACTCTTAGGTACAAGTTTTGGCTTTGCCCATTCTTCTCCAAAAGCCTCTGGCTTTTCCCTTGTAAAAACCTTTATTCAAGGGGTTTCTCCAGATCAAACCAAAGTCCTCATTCTTCAGCAATGTAAAGTAGCGTTACCCCCAAGACCCTCCTTTCTTACTAAGGTTGTGTCAACATAAACAAAGACCTAACCTTTCCTTCTTTGTGCTCTGCTCCTAAGCACCCAAAAGTGATTTTCTCTTCACTGTCTGGGCATGATTAGAGCCCTCAATGTGCAGCTTCTGTTAGAAAGATGGACTCACTATTTGTCCTAACGTACAGACCTTGCAAATGACATCCTGCTTCATGATCCACTATTGCTAGGTGTTTAACTTTCTGCCACATGGTTCTTTTAGTAGCACTCACAGTTGGATTCCTTGACCCTTGTTACTAGGTCTGTTAGCACAGTTCTCTTTGAGTAGCTGTTGCCCACCTTTCTTTCATTGCTGTTGGGCATTCCAGGGTCTGTGAATATCATACAGTACATGGTGCCTGTATCTTGTACTGTGTGATTTTAAGATTAAAGGAATTTTTACTTGTTAATTTCATATATTGGAGTACAGTATAGAACACAGGTCACCCTCCCCTCTTTTCATGTGGTACGCTTCATTTATTTCAAAGAAAAGGCTGAGGACTGATGGAGTGGGGTAGTGTTATAG